GTTTTCTTCACAGCTCTGTCCAGCCCACCCATCACTGTCCTACCGTGCTCGGCCACCTTAGGGTTTCCGAGGATGGGCGGCATTGGGTGGAGGAGGTTGCCGAATGTTTGAGGTGAAGTGTCTCTGAGTCCACGGGATACACGATCAGAAGCCTGGAATGACATGAATCATAGGACACATAAACAAAAAGTTATCAGAGGGCCAATACAGCAATGACCCGGGACCCACTAATAAAACAAGGTTTACCTGGTCAAAGCCTGGGTCCAGTTTCAGCCACATCGATACTTGCCCACAGGGAAGAGATTTGCGCTGCGCTCGGCGTCTGTCCACTTGACCATATTGACGTGGTAAAAGTTCCTGCGACTTTTGCCAAAACAAGTTCTCTTGATGACCAACCTTTTTTCTGAATATTAGTGTTTTGAGAACACAATTTTTATTCATTACTGAATGCTCCACCTCTCTTCTTCTGATTGGCCAAGTTACGTCATCCGATTAATGACGTCCATATTATGACGCTCATTAATGGTTAGATTAATAACATCTAAAAGCTATAACTGTTATTTTAACGAATTTTTAATAACAAATGTATACACTCAGTTGCAATTTATTAAGTACACCTATTAAGTAATGCAGTCTAATAGAAAAGACCACAAGCTACATGTGTACATTAACCCTAGGACTCTTAATGAAACCATTTATTACTTGTTTTCCATTGCTAAAAATTCAGTTTCTTCGCATACTGTATACTGTTCATATCCACCTACCCATTGTTACATAAAGAACCTGCACATAAAATATTTAATTTCAGCATCATTTGCACTCTGCACCATTGCACATATGTCTACTGTCTACAAATGTGTGTTTATATATATGTATATTATAACTGTACATATAAGTCTATGTCATTCTTTATTTAACTTGTTTCTGTTTATTTATGCTGTTAGTCTGTTTTTGTACATTGAAGAGCAACGTAAAACCGGAGTCAAATTCCGTTGTATGTGCACACATACCTGGCCAATAAAAGTGACAGTGGCCATACACTCGTTAGTCTGAAATATCTGAAAAACACAAGTTGACAAAGATCTTCTCTTATGGACGACATCAAGAACGTCTATACCAAGCTGAGCGTGATGCACTCTGAGAAAATCCATGTGGATCCTGATAACTTCAGGGTATGTAACCATCTCTGACGCTCCATAAACCCTCCTTCATTGGTGGATCTAAATGATTAGCTAGCCTAATGCAAACCCCTTTCATCTCTCATTTAGCTCCTTGCTGAATGCATCAGTGTGTGTGTGGCTGCCAAGTTTGGCCCCTCAGTTTCACCCCTGATGTCCAAGAGGCCTGGCAGAAGTTCCTGGCTGTGGTCGTCTCTGCCCTGGGCAAACAGTACCACTGAGGATCCGGAGATGCAGTTCCACGCCGATGAGCAACAGTAATACACGTACTTCTAAGATGCCCCATGTTGCTGTTGTGAAACCCATTAAATAAATGTCAAACTACTGCATAACTCTTTGTGTGATCATTTGTAAAATATATTTTTCTTATCCTTCTTTTCTACTTTTGTCAGTGTGTGTTTTCCTATCTGACACATTATTGTACACAATTTCAGGATGATTGAGATGTTTGAGGGAAAAGCATGTGGGAACAGAAGTTTTATAAATCTGAAGAAAAGACTGCGTATGCACGTTTACTTTTTTGTGCATACACAGATTTCTACACCTAAATACACAGAGTTTTCCCACTTTGCTGTGGTGATGGGCGATCCTATACCACTGAGCAATAGACTTCATTTCAACTTCGTCCCTGTGCTTTAGCTCGATGTAGACCAGGCTTTATTGGCTACATAGACCATAGTTAAATAATTTGCATAAGGGTGTTTAATAAAAGCACTGCTTACTCCCGTATTTACAGTATATTGTTTTTCTTTTTCTGTCCACAATATCCCACAATGCAATGTTGAGTGAAATGCACGTTTAATATAGGCCTTGGTTAGGGGGCTTACGCAAATGTTATCTTAAACAAAATGTTTTATATTCAAAATGTAATAACATAATTTGGAGAGACGTAGACGTATGTAACAAGTTGAAAGTGTATTCAAGTTAATTGAACAGTACAACAGTAGTTAGAATTCATTAGTTCAAGCCCTTTAAAAGGGGCATGTTCAGGTCTGTTTATTTGTGTAATGCACATACAATTTTTTATTTTTGCCAGGTAACCTTGAGTCATTATGACGACGACTTTATGGCAACAACCAAAGGTTCAAGAAATGTTCAAGGTGCATCACAACCCTGCATCACCAGCAACAATAGGCCATCTTCACTGCTACCGTCTCTTAAGACTCAACAAGACTGGGAACCAAAATAACCAGCATTCAAATATTAGTACTACACTACATACTGTATCTGCAGTGATCCTCACACCATTGTCGCTAAATGTGCAGGGATGCTGCACAACTGATGAATTGTACCTTTTAATACGATGTGGCTATGCAGTAGAAAACAAAATTGGCCAATAATATAAAAGACAAATCATAGAAAGTGAATTTTTTTGTAGGCTACTCTTATAGTCAAAAACATGTATTCTTTGTGTGGAGTTAAAAGGCACTGTGGTAAGAAAAAAAAGGGGCTTTGGAGACTGTTTACAATGTGACTAATAAAGAAGCACTTTCAGCTGACCATCATATATTTGTAACACTGGTGACTGTGTCTTACCTTATCAATCCTGTACAGCCTCCACCTTTCAGGAATCTAAACTGTTTAGGTGTCACATGCATTTAGTCTGGGTGAGTTGTTCATTTTTCCACAGTTGTGAGCAACAAATCACCTTCCCCTTCCAAGCGCGAAGGTCAGATCTACAGCCAGAGTTGGGTTTGTCTGTTCTGGGCTACTGTAGAAACATGGCAAAACACCCTCATTCTAAGGTAACAAAAACACAACGAACCTTATTTTCAGGTGATTACACATGAATGAAAACATGAATATTATATTGTATGTACGCCAATATAGATCCTCCTAAATGTTACACACTGGATCTTTAAATATTTATGTTAAGTGTATTTCTGAACAAACGGAGAGCTGTCACCATTTAGACTGTTGAATGTTTATTCAACCTTGAGTTTAATGCATCTTCATGTCATGGTAAAAAAGTACTTGATCATTATTATTAAATCATGGTTTAAACTAAGGCTAAAAATATTGTTTTATATGTTGTTTATTTTGTGTTATTCAATGGTTTTTGTGTATTTTCATTTCTAATATTGTGAGTTGAACTTATAAAATATTATAGTATTTTTGTACATACTTTAATTATACATTTATATATATTGTCAAATAAAGGGCGTCTCTGTAGGTAATCTTTGTTATTTATGACTCAGATTTAACAGTTTAACTGGTGAAGATAAATAAAAATAAAAATGTAAGTTTAATGGACGTTTGAATTCATACTTACACACATACTTTATATTCGGGAAAACAGACTTTCTGGCTCATTTGAAAGCACACTGCGCAATTTAATGCTGATTAAAGGGTGCTGTCATTTTAATTTCCTGATAATGGTGTGCAATATGGTGTGCGTGCCGATAAAAAAATATGTGTAACGTCAAGAAATGAATATCAGCTTGTTGTTTGAGCCCACCCAAGCAACATATGAAGAATGGTGTCCTTTCCAGGACGATGAAAGGCCAATAAAGTCCTGTGGAGTAATTCTGCGTTATAACGTAGTTGTGCTGCTGTGTTACAGAAACCTTGTCATTATGTGGCAGTAGGTAAAGCATGCAACAAAGAAACACTTGTCCTCGGTTTAATTTCTGTGGTTTAAAAACAAATTTAGCTGCTTGGGGACATTAAGAACCTGTTGCATAAAAGACATTTTCGTCATATTAAGTTGACCTACAGATAATTTATTTGGGTGGAGGAAGCCTGAATGTTCAGATAATGAAACCTTTGGATAATCTCAGTTTAACAGCCTCGGGCAAGTAACTTTGCATGGCCAGGGTACATAAAAAAAATAGAGGGAATGTCTTTTTGAGAAGAAAAACAAATTTATTAGCTCTTTATTTTGTGAGATATAGGCATAAGTTCTGATGTATCTGCATGGCGCTGACTGGTAACCATCACAATCCTTTAATTTGGTACGGTCGCTCTCTCATGTCTGACTCTTTGTTGGCTTATCATTGCGTGTCATTAAACAGAGGAGCTGGTCACTCCTCAGTTGATATTGATTACACTGAAATTATGGTTGAGTGGACAGACAAGGAGCGCAGCACGGTCAGTGCTATTTGGGAAAAAATTGATATTGATGTGATTGGACCAGAAGCGTTGGCAAGGTAAGCTTAGAGGAAGTGATTTTGAACGAAGTGAGGTAGGCTATTGCTTTGGGGTTTTTTTATGGTCTCTTTATGTAGGAAGAGGCTTATTTTAATATTATCTCTCAAGTTTGTTTGATCGTTTGAAATCTAAGGATTTATATTATGCCTATTGTTTGCTTAATGTTTATATCTAAAAGAATCGATCGATCATATTGTATAGCTTCTTATTTGTCAATGGCAGGTTGTCTTCCTTGCATCACAACTGTTAGAAAATAATGGTATGAGGGGCAAATCTATTTTGTTTAAATAAAAGCTACTGAGGAATTAACTGTTTGAATAAAGATATTAATGTCAGAGTAGACTAATGCTAAATTAAAATTTGGTGTTTTTATTTTTCATTTTAGATTATTAAATAATTTCAGCACCAGGTGCTGTCCATAGAGTCGTACAAGATATTAGCCCGTGTTTGGAAATATTTCCACCTTTATAAAAGTTTATATCATGTAAGTCAACACGGCCTGAATGTAATTGCGTTTAAGCCTCAACCAGAGTAATACGTCTATCACTGAGTATTAAATGTCGTACATGATCTGTAAAGGTAATAACCTTTCGTTCTTTTTGTTGCTTTGATGAGTCAAGTTATTTCAGACTCACATTTACGATGTGAGCTCATAACAAATGTGTTTACAATACAAAAATCCAGCGTGCAAAATAACTATATCCCTCATGTTGACAGAGTGTTGATCGTTTACCCCTGGACTGAGCGGTATTTTGCTACTTTTGGAGATATCTTCTCTGCAACTGCTGTTTTGGGTAACGCCAAAGTAGCAGCTCATGGCAAGGTGGTGCTGAAGGCACTGGATAGTGCAGTGAATAACATGGACAACATTAAAGCCACATATAATGATCTGAGCCGGTTGCACTACGAGAAACTCAGCGTGGATCCGGACAACTTCAAAGTAGGCAATCTTGTTCTAAAATCAAATGGAGAAATATTTGATCAGTAGGCTACTGTCAAGTCAAACCTGTCTGGATTTATTGTGTCTTTTTGTTTTGTCCACAGCTGTTGGCCGACTGCATCACAATTGCCGTCGCCTGCAAACTCAAGAGCGCCCTCAACCCTCAGGCCCAAGCTACCTGGCAGAAGTTTCTGTCTGTTGTGGTCGAGGCTATGAGCAGTCAGTACTTCTGAAGAGGCGAACAGATCCAGCTGAAAAAACATAAATTGCATATTTAAACCCTGTGTGTTTGTCTCAGTGACAGGCATAGAGTGTATCTGCTGGCAGGCTTAATTATACAAGGTATCTGAAACCATTAAAAATATGCTTTAGTAATCGAATTATTGCTTAAATGACCAGTTTGCATAATGTAACAACGTCAGTATGTGGTGAACTGGTGAAAGGCGTTGCACCAGCACGATGTGGTATACTTTTAGTGGCCTATTTTTATGTACTAAAATGTGTATAGACTGTTTAAAGTTATCTGGGTTTTCCTCAGTGCCTTTTGTTTCACTCTTTCTTGTTATCCACAGAATCCACAACCATTTGTGGATGGATTATGTAACAACAAATTACATCTCAGCTGGGTTCCCTGGACTATGCTGCCCAATTATGAAGCAGTAGGGTGGTAGTAACATGAGAAAAAAAACCCAGGAAAACATAAAAACAAAACATTACTTAGCATATGTCCATTACAGTTTTTCTCAGTCGCTTTGGTGCATTTCTC